TTACACAAATAGTGCGACTCAATCGAACAATCGGCCCAATTGTCCCGAGCCCACGCATCATCCCCTGAGAATGGTGCTTGATCAGACCATGCACACACACCCACACTCATGTCAATGCCCACGAATGTGATGTTTCTTGTGTATATGCAACATAAATGTACAATTGCATTTCATATCCCTAAGCAACTAAGATCTCAATTGCAATTTCACATCATCTTTCATATGTCATGTGCACATAATGAACAACATTCTATCTCATTCAACATTCTCAATTATCAATTATATCATAAGTGTATAATTACAATTTACAACATCATCGAAGCATGTTATTCCAATTTCATCAAAACAACATACTTCAATCATTCAAGGCATTTTATCAAACACCCACATATATCATTCAAGGCATCTTATCAACACCCACATATATCATTCAAAACATTTTATCAAACACCCACATATATCACATTTCTCAAGAAATCACATCAAGTAATTTTTACATACCCAATTCAAGTTAGAATTGATTTTACCAATTTTTCACATTTCAACTATCATAGGTAAATGTCACGCAAAAGGTTACACATTTAACATCCTATCCATTCATATAGCAACCCTAGGTTGGAAATAAACCTAGCTAGGAAAGAACCATATCTCTTGAAACGTAAAACAAGTTGTAGAACCCTTTAAGAACACAACCCAAGCTCAAACCCTAGATTTCCTAAAATCCATCCGTTTTAGTACGTAGGCATAGCCCTTGTCATGTAAAGGAACTTTAATTCTTGGCCCAAGTCGATTCGACCAAAGGAACGTCGTAGATTGTAGGGAGAAGTTAGAACTCTCTCTTTTTCCCTCTCTTCCCTCTCCAACATAAAAACCCAGTCGAAATGGGGAGAAAATCTGATTTGCTCCCCTATTTATACCCCTTGGAATGCTTGGCCCTCGTCACACCACACGTCCTCCATTTTCAGGTCCGATTTTGTCCCAAAATAATTAAATTTCGTCCCGGTTCAAGTTGAAAATATTTTTATGTGAACTAGTTTTAAATTATTTTTTAATTTTTGAATTTAATTCCATGTCTCTTTTTTAGGTCGTGCGACACCCGATTGCCCTGAAAAACGCAAAAATTTGACTGTCTCAGAATTCGACGAAGATTGACTGGGTAACTACATTTTGCGAAACAAATCCAAAGATGAAGTTTGTTTTGTCACCTGAGTTCTAGAAAAATTTTGGTTTTCAACCCGTACGGTAGTGACAAATTACCGTTTTGCTCTTTTTCATAAAAATTCAAATTTAACCAGGTTTTACATATTTCCTAAGGTTTAAAGGTTCAAGGAAATTCTTCATGATATGGATTTGAAGTTTAAACTCCTTCCTTCGTGTAGCTTATGGACTTAGGTTGAGATTTACATTGTGACTTTATAGTAGTGTTTTAAAATCCGGCCCGGCCCGACGGGTCAACTCGGTGAACTGGGCCGGGTTTATTTAAAGATCGTTTATGTAAAGAACCCGAAATAAACCCGTTGAACCGGTCAAAAACCGATAAACCCGTGAGAACCGAACGAGTTCACTAAATCGGCCGGATTTTTTTTTAGTATAAAAACTAATTTTGGGGGCACTTTTGGGCATTTTTGCCATTCAGCCCTAATCACTCTTTCCCTTCCCCGTTCCCCAGCTAGCCCCCTCTTCGCGAAGAAACAAACAGCCCCTCTCTCTCTCTCTCTCTCTCTCTCTCTCATCAGTCTCTCTCTGCCTCTAGTCTCTGCTTCACCTTCACTGCGAGGTCGAAGACTCGAGTCGAAACGGAAGGAACTTTCGATCCCTAACCTTCTTCACTACGATTTCGATTTTTGACGTCGACCACCACGCACCGTAACAAGTATACTACTGTATACTGACTCTACTCTCTCTCTAGCTCTCAGTATATATTTGTGGATTGCATTTTTTTTTATTGTTGGGATGTAATTGATTTTAGAAATTTTTAGGCTCGAAATATTATTTTTTTTCTAGAAAAGATAATATAAAATTACTTTAAATAACAAATCCTTAAAAAGCAACACAAAAGCGTTCTCATGATACTGAGGACAAAAAGGAAATTCTTCACTATCCGAAAAATCAAACTACACTCTTGATCAAGAGGAAGCTCCACTGCGCAATGCTTGATTCTTCTTAGGCATGAAACATGGTGGCTTTGAATTTCAATTTGTATTTTTTTTGGTATGGCTTATTGTGTGTTCATGTATATATAAATGTAGGAAGAGTAATTTATTTTTGTTTGATTTTCTTTTCTTAGTTGAGTCACTAAGGCCTTGAAATCTTGTTTGTAGCAAGAATTTTCCAATTTTAAGCTATGGTGAAGGAGACCGAAGATTATGACAAATTGGGAATTGGTACGGATGCATCTCCAGCAGAGATCAAGAAGGTCAAACCTCCCTCTTACTATGTCTTCAATATGTTTAATTTTGTATGTCTGTTTCAGTGCATATTTATCTATCCCTTTATTTATACAATCTAACAATGCACGCCAATATCATCTGGGATTGGGCTTATATTCTAATGGCAATTTTACATGTGTATGATTTTTTTATGCTGTGAAATGAGATGAGGTTGGATTTATTGCCTTATGTATCTGTATTTAACTTTACATGTTTGTTGTTATTATCATAAATATTGTGATTTTTTAGTCTATCAATTATTTTATTTTTTTTATTATATAATCGGTTCAACCAGTAACCCAACGGTTGAACTAGTGACCCATTGACCCGGTCCCTCTACCGGGTTGATGTCCGGGCCGGATTTTAAAACTATGCTTTATAGAATTAGCTAATTACAAAGGAGCAATTTCCTAATAATTATTGATGTAATTGTGCACANCTGCTTCACCTTCACTGCGAGGTCGAAGACTCGAGTCGAAACGGAAGGAACTTTCGATCCCTAACCTTCTTCACTACGATTTCGATTTTTGACGTCGACCACCACGCACCGTAACAAGTATACTACTGTATACTGACTCTACTCTCTCTCTAGCTCTCAGTATATATTTGTGGATTGCATTTTTTTTTATTGTTGGGATGTAATTGATTTTAGAAATTTTTAGGCTCGAAATATTATTTTTTTTCTAGAAAAGATAATATAAAATTACTTTAAATAACAAATCCTTAAAAAGCAACACAAAAGCGTTCTCATGATACTGAGGACAAAAAGGAAATTCTTCACTATCCGAAAAATCAAACTACACTCTTGATCAAGAGGAAGCTCCACTGCGCAATGCTTGATTCTTCTTAGGCATGAAACATGGTGGCTTTGAATTTCAATTTGTATTTTTTTTGGTATGGCTTATTGTGTGTTCATGTATATATAAATGTAGGAAGAGTAATTTATTTTTGTTTGATTTTCTTTTCTTAGTTGAGTCACTAAGGCCTTGAAATCTTGTTTGTAGCAAGAATTTTCCAATTTTAAGCTATGGTGAAGGAGACCGAAGATTATGACAAATTGGGAATTGGTACGGATGCATCTCCAGCAGAGATCAAGAAGGTCAAACCTCCCTCTTACTATGTCTTCAATATGTTTAATTTTGTATGTCTGTTTCAGTGCATATTTATCTATCCCTTTATTTATACAATCTAACAATGCACGCCAATATCATCTGGGATTGGGCTTATATTCTAATGGCAATTTTACATGTGTATGATTTTTTTATGCTGTGAAATGAGATGAGGTTGGATTTATTGCCTTATGTATCTGTATTTAACTTTACATGTTTGTTGTTATTATCATAAATATTGTGATTTTTTAGTCTATCAATTATTTTATTTTTTTTATTATATAATCGGTTCAACCAGTAACCCAACGGTTGAACTAGTGACCCATTGACCCGGTCCCTCTACCGGGTTGATGTCCGGGCCGGATTTTAAAACTATGCTTTATAGAATTAGCTAATTACAAAGGAGCAATTTCCTAATAATTATTGATGTAATTGTGCACACACATTTACACACACAATGCATTTGATGAATAAATCAATTTGGTTGAATCGGTGGAAGGGCTATTAGAGGGATAAGGATGGTAGATTTGCATTGTTGAGTTGTTGTTTATTGATTTAATTATCTTGCATCTATTCATTCAATTAAGAGTTTGTTCTTCATTAAAAGGGGTTCACTAATCGTTAATTGACAAATCAATCATTTAATTGGTAATTTTGGTAAATAGATCCAAAATTGGTGATTTGCCATAGAAAGTGTCAAAGACCTATTCAGTCCTCCCTCTAAGTCGTGATTTGCCATGTATAATTGTGTTGAGGATGATCCCATTACACTCTCCCAAAAAGAATCAAAGGTATGAAAATGATTCAGTTTACACTAGACTCATTTAAATCTCAAGTTCGGCTTGGATAAAAAGGGGCCCAAAATTTTTTTTAGATTTGGCTCATTTAATAAAATGAGCAAGGTTGAACTTGTAAAAAACAAACCAAATCCGACAAACTTAGTTTGTTTACAAGCCTTATTTGGAGAAGCTTGCCCACCTCTTCTTTGATGGTTTTATTACTCTTTTGGGGTAAATGTTTTATGTTTCTACTTTACTGGTTCATGTTTACATTGACACCAACAAGCCTAGTCCAATGTCACTTTTTACTTCATTGACTTTGCCTTCTTAAGATCAAGGTTCAAATCCTCCTCTTCCTCCCCCTCCCACTCCCCAAAAAAAAATAAAGATGTTTAGATCTACGCGTTTTGACACTAAGCAAATACCTCTCTGTCGCCACGCAAGAATATCACGAGCTCCTCCACCATTAGTGGTGAAAGCTGTTAACCAATGTGGAAATATGTGTGATACAGCGGCTGTCTAAATAATCCAAAGTTCAGCTTCATGATTGAAGGTATTTTTCTCTTTCCCTTCGATGTTAAACTGGTTTCTGCAGCGAATACTTCACTTTTCTCTTTCCCATCTATTTTTCTCTTTCCCTTCTATCATAGCAGCATGGCATTCTCTAATAGTAAGATGAATACTTCATACTCTTCGCAAAATGACAATTAATAAACTTTCACTAATGTCATCTCAACAATCACGACCAAAAAAAGAAGTCATCTCAACAAAACCCCATTTCCACACTTAAACGTCCAAAGATAAAACTATCGAGATAAGACAGACCGTGGCGCAAACAAAACTAATCAGGCTTTGGATCAAGAAAAATGTATTCCAGACTTATTAAACAATGAGAGGAGGTGCATAAAGTCTGCTTGTGTGAGCTTGGAAGATCTCTTATCTTCAAAATCTCCTTCCTTCAACACACCTAATACCTTCTTCTTAAAGTCAGATCCTTTGGTGTCACCATTGTCCATCTCTATATCTTCATCGTCTCCATCATCAACTTCCATACTCATATCTTCAAGGGTAACTCCCAAAGCAGATACAACCATTGCCATCTCTGTATCCTCTAATGATCCTTCCTGTGAAAGCTTTAATGCCTGCAAGGTCTTGTAGTTCTTCTCCAAGAATGAGAGAACAGTCTTCTGTCTAAAAGTCGAACCAAGAGTTTTGTTCTTTCTATTGAAACATATTCGGACTAATCCATCCCAATCTTTAAAATTCACATTAGGAAGTGGTTTCCTTGGCTCGATTCTAACTACAGATGAATCAACTTTTGGTGGAGGCCGGAAGTTATTCCTCCCAACCTTTAGTAAATGGGAAATGCGAGCCAACAGTTGAGTGTTCACTGAAAGGCGGCAGTAGAGAGTGTCACCAGGCTGAGCAACTAATCTCATGGCAAATTCCCTCTGGAACATTATCACAGCGCATCTGAATAATGGTCGATGAGATAACAATTTGAACGTTAGAGGAGAAGAGATTTGATACGGAATATTTGCCACGCATATATCAAAATATGGAAGATCACATTTGAGCACATCTCCTTGGATAACCTGCACAGATCAATATTATCAAAGGCATTCAATTTTTCTCTTTGTAGTAAATGAAAGGCATTCAATTTTACTTGAATTGAATAACATAAAGACATATTTACCCAATTTGACAATGATCCACAAGATCCAGTTGATAGCCATATTCATACTGATGCTAATGGCATAGAAACATCAGAAGAGCGATGTGATTCAAAGAATGATAGCCGTTAAGCATTTGAAAACGCTAACCATCGAACCACAGTTCAGAAAAAAAATTATTCAATATTATTATGGAGCCCTGAAGGCCGTTAAGCATTTGAAAACCATGGGTTCACATGAAGACAGAACTTTCCCATGCAACTAGGGATGACAATTCCTAGTTCAGTCATATTTCAAACCAGCTCCCAAAGCCACCACCAAACGTATAAGCATTCGAATATGTGTATGTATCAGCGTGCAAGGACAGTATAATTAAAGTATGTCCACCCTACTATATTTTATCATACCAATTAGGATAGAATCATACCACATTATTAATAACTTTCAGCCAAGCTTCAGACATGTTAAAAATATTTCTAGATAAATTTGAACATATTAGAGTTGTGTTTTTAAAAAATTATAGGGTTAATTTATTATTGTAAAAATATTATTGCAAGGACATGAAAGTTAGGGTCACAACTTGTAATTACAAAATCAATTGGAGTTAGAAAAATCCAAATATAAGTATGTTTATCTAATGAGATTACTTTAATCTAATCAAAGCCAGCCACCACCTAAGAAAGAGAGATTAAGAGAGAGGAGAAGAATTGATCAAAGACTGTGCGATCCTTCGATGGTTGTGCTACCTTCTAGTGAGATGTGTCTTGCTTTTATTTGAGATCTTTATAGTCGGTGACAACACTGACACTAGGAAACGCTTAACAATTTTTGGTTAGCATGACAGTTATATTATTAATGTTGAATTTTCAAACATAAAAGGGATTGATGATCTTGCTAAAAAAATAGTTAATATTGAAAAAGACTTGGTAAAGTTTTTAATTTACTTACTTGTGACTTTGGTATTGACTTTACTATTCGTGGTTGCCACTATAGAGAGTATATTTAATTATGAAGATCGTGAAGATTCAATTAAGCATCCAGATTGGTGATAAATGGATGATTGCTAGCATAATGTGTAAATAAAGAAAGACTTTTTTTGATGGTATTAGTAATAAAGTTCTAGTGCAATGCTTTTAAAGTACGAAAATAAATTGGGGGTCAGTTTCAAATGGATGTATTAAACCTTATTTTTTTCCAGAGAAAACATCATAATTAGTTACATGATGTATTCCAATTTTTGTTTTGTATCTATTAAATTTTTGGATATCAAATATAATGTTGTAAGATGTAAATGTATCATTTAACTTTTTATAAATTGATAAAAATTAAAATTTATTAAAGTCTCCAGCCTAAAAGGATTTTGTGGCAACCCCTGTTAGCTTGTGCGGGTCAGAATGCAGAGAACCGACTTCCCACCCACAATAGGCGGGTTAGCAAAAACGCAAGCATTGCGCAGGATATACTAAGTACAATTTTGCCCAAATGGAGCCTTAGTATACAAAATTAAGATTCATGCGATAAAAATTCATATGCCTTTTTTTTTTGTAAATTTCAGACATGATGAAATTGGTTACATATTGTTTTAATATCACCCCCTCTTTCGAGGTTATTCAAAACTGCAGGTCTGTCTGAGATCACACAGCACACACAGGGTCCACCCTTACCATATTAGATTATACAAAAAAAATTAAAAATTAAAAAACAAGAAGCCCACACACACTCACAAACAAATTATAAGCATAAGAACTGATTAAAGCACCTACTTAATTACCCAGGAAGAAATTATCAAAGATAGTTGTAAACATAGGGGTTAGAGAAGAAGGCCACCAACCCACTTCCAAGAACTACTCCACGGTGGACAAACTGTTTTCAAGTTCTCCACAAGAAGAATTACTCCCCAAAAAAAAATATTCATTTTCAAGGAGAACAAAAGCATACCTTCAACCGATTAGATAAAAGAGTCCCCTGAAACCTCCGCTGCAATTCAAGAACCATTCGAGAATCCAACTCGACAGCAATTACAGATTTGCCCACTTCCAGAAGCTTCTTTGTAAGATTACCCGTACCGGGACCAATCTCCAGAATGACATCCGTGCTCTTGATGCCAGATTTCTGGATGATGGTGTCTATCAAAAGAGGGTTCTTCAGTATGTGCTGACCTTTTGACTTGTGGAACGGTATGCCTCCCTGGAAGTGTGGGTTGGCCGATGTAGAGGATCCACGACGGGGCTTTTCCTTCATGATTTTACCTCCCGCCATGCTTAGGGTTTAGACGTGATGGAAACCAATGAATGGCCGAAGCCGAAGCTACGAGTTTGTGGTTGGAAACTGTATTGGGCTTGCTTGCTTTTTTAACAAAGATTTAACAATCCAAAATGGTTAAACGTTATATGTACCCTAGGCCCAAGTGCCTTTCCAAGCAAAACAGTAAATTGACAATCCACGGACTCCCACATCGGGTGAAACGGGAAAATTTGAGGATCAGTCTTTTTTTATGGATTTATTTGAATTTAAATCTATTTAAAAATAATTTTATTTTGATTTTCATTGTCTAAAATATCTTCAGTACTTATATTTAATTTAAACAAATATAAAAACTAAAAACTCCTAAATTTATGAGTTTTACTAGCATTAAAATTGTTTATTTATTATACTTAATTATATCTATATATAGATTATAACTATTTTATCTACGTCTCATATACACATGAATTATATATATATAATAATTATCCGTGTCTAAAAACACTATATAACAAATAAAAAATTGTTGTTTAAGTATTTTAAAACAAATAAGAATCAGTCAAAAAAAAGTTGAAAGAGCAAAAAAAAAATTTAATTTGTGGTGTTATATACATAATTGCAATAAATGCCATAAGTCAAGAACAAAAAAAAATAAAAAATATTATTTAGCTAATAACGATTGTCACAATACCATATGAGATAAAAAAAAAATTGTTAACAGATTATAAAAGTAAAACCCAATTGATGATCACTGTCACCCCCACACAATAAAGTGACTTGTCACAACATCATTACAATACCAACCAAATCACCCATGCCTAAATGAATTGTGTTACCCGTGTCTAAAAGCATTGTTTTAACACATTTAACTCATGGGGCATGTCAAGATTGACACAACTGTGACCAACCTCATTAACACAATGTGTACAACCTGTTTCAACTATTTTCCATCTATTTAAGCCAATATAAATTCCTATTTTGAATACAAATCACCAATTTGTCCACAATCCACATCCATGTAATTTGCTAAATGAAAAGTGAACTATAGGTTGAAAGTCATCCTAGCCTATATATGAGAAAGTTAAGAAAATCACATTCCATAACAGTTGGTGTCAAACCCAGGTAGTCAAACATAAAGATAATCCCCCTCCAAACCACCCCTTAAATAACACAATATCACATTAATTCATAATTCTAGCCTAAACAGTGTTTTTTATGGGAAGTTTTATCTTCCTACTTTATGTACAGATTTAGATCCCCTCTATTACTCATTGTCTTCAATTCCCCTCAATGCAGTGCTAGATAAGTGACATGTATAAGATTTTGAATTTTAATTGACAAAATTTTTTCTTATTCATTTTATTATTAATAGAGTGTTAACCATTATTAAGGAATTTTCTTGCAAGAAAAAAATCTTGTCTATTGAAATTCAGAATCTTACACATGTCACTCATCTAACACTATATTAAGGTGAATTGAAGGAATGAGTAATTGAGGGGATCTGAATCCTTTATGTACCTATGTAAATACAACACCATCAAATTCCTCAAATTTATGAGAAGATCAGATTGAATTAAACTAAATAATTAAAAAAAAAAAAAAAAAGCTCAACATGTCACCATTGGCTCAAAAAAAGTCCCACTAATTACCATCAACATCACCAAAAAGAAAGAAAGAGAGAGAGAGAACGAATTCCAACAAATCACCACTATCACCAACTCTAAAAACAAAAAGCCCCGCTGATTAACACAATTGAATTCCAATATTGCCCCGGCCTATGTAAAGGTGCATCCTCACTTATTGGTGCTTTTGATGCTTCATTCCCATTACTTGTAGTTTCGAAAAATTGTACAATCAATTAAAACTTCATTAATGTGACCTCAAANAAAAAAAAATTGTTAACAGATTATAAAAGTAAAACCCAATTGATGATCACTGTCACCCCCACACAATAAAGTGACTTGTCACAACATCATTACAATACCAACCAAATCACCCATGCCTAAATGAATTGTGTTACCCGTGTCTAAAAGCATTGTTTTAACACATTTAACTCATGGGGCATGTCAAGATTGACACAACTGTGACCAACCTCATTAACACAATGTGTACAACCTGTTTCAACTATTTTCCATCTATTTAAGCCAATATAAATTCCTATTTTGAATACAAATCACCAATTTGTCCACAATCCACATCCATGTAATTTGCTAAATGAAAAGTGAACTATAGGTTGAAAGTCATCCTAGCCTATATATGAGAAAGTTAAGAAAATCACATTCCATAACAGTTGGTGTCAAACCCAGGTAGTCAAACATAAAGATAATCCCCCTCCAAACCACCCCTTAAATAACACAATATCACATTAATTCATAATTCTAGCCTAAACAGTGTTTTTTATGGGAAGTTTTATCTTCCTACTTTATGTACAGATTTAGATCCCCTCTATTACTCATTGTCTTCAATTCCCCTCAATGCAGTGCTAGATAAGTGACATGTATAAGATTTTGAATTTTAATTGACAAAATTTTTTCTTATTCATTTTATTATTAATAGAGTGTTAACCATTATTAAGGAATTTTCTTGCAAGAAAAAAATCTTGTCTATTGAAATTCAGAATCTTACACATGTCACTCATCTAACACTATATTAAGGTGAATTGAAGGAATGAGTAATTGAGGGGATCTGAATCCTTTATGTACCTATGTAAATACAACACCATCAAATTCCTCAAATTTATGAGAAGATCAGATTGAATTAAACTAAATAATTAAAAAAAAAAAAAAAAAGCTCAACATGTCACCATTGGCTCAAAAAAAGTCCCACTAATTACCATCAACATCACCAAAAAGAAAGAAAGAGAGAGAGAGAACGAATTCCAACAAATCACCACTATCACCAACTCTAAAAACAAAAAGCCCCGCTGATTAACACAATTGAATTCCAATATTGCCCCGGCCTATGTAAAGGTGCATCCTCACTTATTGGTGCTTTTGATGCTTCATTCCCATTACTTGTAGTTTCGAAAAATTGTACAATCAATTAAAACTTCATTAATGTGACCTCAAATAAAGATCTACTCAAACCCAATACAATATAGTTCCAATTACAACATAAACAAACATCTAAAATGGTTAAAATTTATTAAATATATGCCTATCTATTGATGATACACAAATTGGTCTTATGCACCACTTGTCAAATGATTGATAATTAATGCAGTAATTAAAAAGTAAGAGAGCAACATCAGCAAAACAAAAATGTAGAAGTGGTTCGGTTAACTTGACCTACGTCCACTACGAAGAGTTAGGATGACCTGGGTATTTTATTACTTCGAGGAATGTAGGGAGAGTAGGGAGAGTAGGGAGATACAAGCTATGAGTCAGGGGGAGAGTGATAGCAGATGTGCTTGATTGTGTGTGATGCCCCCCAAGTATTGGTGGGGCTTACAGTTTATAGTGGCTCACAACAAACTGAGATGCCTTTTCAGCAACTAAAAGGCTAATTTGGTAGAGCTAGCACCATCTTTTCAATGGATGAGGCAATTATGGCGCTCCCTATAAGATCCGGTCAAAGGATGACGTGGTGGTTGACTTCTTCCAAGGCGACGTGGATGAGGCTCTTAGATGACCTACTTACTCCCTTGGTGATGTAGTTCCTGATGAATAGTTAAAATAAGCAAAATACTATGCTTTTATAAGACTAATTATGTTTTAATAAAGTTTCAATGATGATATTTCAGGAAAAAAAGATTGTACAAGGACTTAAAGTCAATAAACATCAAACTTTCATGTAACACCCATGTGTTCTGGAAAAAAATTATAGGAAGAGCAAAAAAGGCATCCACGTTTGGACGCCCATCTTGAAATAATTGAGGGCCCCCAGAAGATTGTTAGGGTGATAACACATGGCGTGTTGCAGCTATTCTCTGAGAAAAAGAACAAAGAGCTACTTGAGTACCACATTAGAATGCCAATAAACGTTCAAACGCGATCTTGAATTATTTGAGGACCCCTAGCACATTGGTAGGGTGATGACACGTGGCATGTTGAAGCTCTTCACCATAGAGGACAAAAGCCACTTGAGTATTATGTTCAAAATCCAGTCAGCGTTCGAACACCCATCACAGAAGATAGGAGTAAACATTCAAACATCATCCCACGTTTGAACGTATCTCCTAGACATGTTGCAGAATGGTTGAATTTCCATCTGGATCTTGGCGCATTCACTTGGACTTTGAGCACCTAGAACTGTTCTTTTACTCTTCTCTACCCCCTCCTCCTTGCCTATAAATACCTCATCTTTGGACTTGTAAAAGGGAGAGATAGAGATATTTTGGAAGAGGAAGAAACCCTCCAAAAGTAACTAGCTTTCTTCTACTTTTATTGTTAGTTTCATTAGCTTCCATTGTAAAAGCTTCTTTCTTCACTTAGAGGAGTGAAAATCTTCCACCTTTCTAGCTCTTTTGTAGCCTTGAAGGGTAGAAAGTGATTCACTCATTCTTCGTCGGAGATAGACTCATTATTTAGTGTATTTTACCTTATAACTCCTTTACTTAGTGGGATGAGAATCACTCACTTTTCTAGCTTTTTCAAAGCCATGAAGAGTGAGTAGTTTCTTATTCACTCTTTAATAAGAGGTGATGGAAATGTATAAATTATTTGGAAGTCATATTTGTGCATTTCGTTTATGATTAATGCTTTATCTTTTACTTGCTTATTGAATGATTGAATACATCTTTCAAAGCTAAGGTACTTTGTACAACCATGAGTCCTTTCTAAGGCAAATTTGACTCTTGACATAGGAGGACTCATTGGTTCTTTGCAAATACTCCAGTTAGATCTTCATGACTACATTTTAATCTTCACTATTATTGTGCTTCAATTAAGAATGGAATACTAACACAGTGGTTGGATGACTTGTAGAATTACTTGCTTGTTTATAGGCGGGTTGAGTCCTGACACGGACAATTCGTGTAAATCTCTTCAAACACATCGGAACCATGCTCTTAATTCTCACAGTCCATCTTTATAGTCTAATTAACTTGTTCACACAGAGGTTAATTGAATTCTCAAGCACAAATATAACAACTCA